GATCTGTTACTACTGGGAAAGGGCAGAATTGCTAAACAACAACAACACACACACAAAAACAAAAACCAAGAAACAAAACCCCAAAAAAACCCACTCCTGAAGTCCAAGAGCACAAGACTGAGGCTGGAGTGAGAGAACCAAGAAATCCTCCTTGAAGCCCACCGAGTAACCAGCAACAGCAGTTCACCCCTGAGAGAGGTGAAAAAGCATAGGTCACACTCCTTCTGTGGCATAGGTATGAAGGACTTGTTGAAATGTGAGCATGCAGGGAAAAACTGAGAAAAATCATCCCACAGTTCACAACTCCACTAAACACAGTGGCAGCAGCTTACTCACTTCTATAGCAATTAGAAGTCTGGTACATTAATGGTAAGAATAACAACAAACCCAAACCTATTTCAACCATTGATTAGACTGCCCTAATGTCACACGCTAATGGCTGGATAGAGGATGTGTGCCCATTTCCAGATGTAAATACTATTTACCTCAGTCCACTTTATGCACAGTACTTGGCATTGAATCAAGAACTATGAAACACACAAGAAAAGAAAAAGACTTTGACGAAACAATCAGCAGAACTAGACTAAGGTATGACCCAGATGGTAGCACTATCAGGCAAAGACTTTAAAATAACTGTAATATGTTAATGGACTCAGTGGAAAAGGTAGACAACGTGTATGAACAGAAAGGGAATTTCGGTAGAGAGATAAAAACCAGAAAAAAAGGAGCTGAAACAAAATGTTAGAATTAAAAACACGCTATCAGAGATGAATTTAATAGGTGTATCTATACACTGGACTGAGGAAAGAATCAGTGAACTTCAAGACAGGTCACTAGAAGTTACCCAAACTGAAATCTAAATTAAAAAAAAAAACAAAAAACAGAGCATCCAATAGTGGCATGCCAATCTTACTTAAATGGTTGAATGTAATAATAGTTTGAGTCCCAGGAGAAAAAAGAGAGCATGGAGTAGAATAAATATCTGAAAAGAAAATGGCTGAGAATTTTCCAAAACTGACGAAAGAAAACAAACTAAAATGCAAGAAATTCAGAAGCCCCCAAAAGGGCAAATACAAAGAAAAATACACCTAGATACATCAGGGTCAAACTGCTAAAAATAAAAAATAAAACCTTATAGACAACAGAGAAACTATACAATTCAGAAGATCATTAAATGACACCATTTAAGTGCTGAATGAAAAAAATGTTAACCAACCCAGATTTATATACCCAGCAAAAATCTTTCAAAAATGAAGATGAAATAAACATTTTTCAGACAAAAGCTGAGAGAATTCATTGCTCTTAGACCGGTGCTAAAAATATATTAAAGGAATTTACTCAGGAGGAAGGAGTATGATAGCAGAAAGAAATTTGGTTCTGCATAAGAAAAATGAAGAACACCAGGACATAGATAAATATATATATATATATATATATATATATATATATATATATATTTACAATTTTTAATCTTAAAGATAACTGTCAGACTAAGCAGTGGTCAGCAAGCTACAGTATGAGGGTAAATATATTTTATTGGAACATAATTCATTTATGTGTATAGTCTGTGGCTGCTTTCGCGCTAGTGGCAAAGGTGAATAGCTGCAAGAGAGAGAAACCATATGCCTGCAAACTCTAAAATATTTACAATTGACTTTTACAGAAAAGGTTTGTTGAACCATGGTCTAAAGAGATAAAGTAAAAACAAAGAACAACAAAAGCCCAACATATTATAGGGTTTATATGTTAAAGTAAGATATATGAAAACAGCACAAAAGACTGGAGATAAGAAATGGAAATATACTATTATAAGGTGTCTACATGATAGATGAGGTGGTACAATGAAGGGAATTTGTGATAAGTTGAAGACGTGTATCATAAATCCTACGTCAAACACTAAGACATCTTTTATTTATTATTTTTTTTTTTAAATTTTTTTTTCAACGTTTATTTATTTTTGGGACAGAGAGAGAGCATGCACAGGGGAGGGGCAGAGAGAGAGAGGGAGACACAGAATCGGAAACAGGCTCCAGGCTCTGAGCCATCAGCCCAGAGCCCGACGCGGGGCTCGAACTCACGGACCGCGAGATCGTGACCTGGCTGAAGTTGGACGCTTAACTGACTGCGCCACCCAGGTGCCCCACTAAGACATCTTTTAAAAGAGGCAGAAGTAGCAAGCCAAAATTGAGATAGAATGAGTAATAGATAATGGAATACTAAAAAAAACCCAAAGCTGAAAGCTAATAAGTGCCCATCATTCAGTACAATGAATAAAGGGCGGTATATTCACACAATGGAATACTAAACAATAAGGAGAATAAATAGCCTACAACCATAGGCAACCAGATGGCAGAATCTCACAAATGTAATTTTGAGCAAAAGAAGCCAGACATCAGGTAAGAATGCAAATTGGTGCAGCCACTCTGGAAAATAGTGTGGAGGGTCCTCAAAAAATTAAAAATAGAACTACCCTACAACCCACCAATTGCACTACTAGGTATTTATCCAAAGGATACAGGTGTACTGTTTTGAAGGGGCACAAGCACCCCAATGTTTATAGCACTGCTATCAACAATAGCCAAAGTATGGAAAGAGCCCAAATGTCCATCAATGGATGAATGGATAAAGAAGATGTGGTATCTATATACAATGGAGTATTACTTGGCAAGCAAAAAGAATGAAATCTTGCCATTTGCAACAACATGGATGGAACTAGAGTGTATTATGCTAAGCAAAATAAGTCAGAGAAAGACAAATACATGACTTCACTCATGAGGAATTTAAGATACAAAACAGATGAACATAAGGGAAGGGAAGCAAAAATAATACAAAAACGGAGGGGGACAAAACAGAAGAGACTCTTAAATATAGAGAACAAACAGAGGGTTTCTGGAGGGGTTGTGGGAGGGGGGATGGGCTAAAATGGGTAAAGGGCGTTACGGAATCTACTCCTGAAATCATTGTTGCACAATATGCTAACTTGGAAGTAAATTAAAAAACACATATAAAAAGCCAGACATCAGAGTATATATTGCATGCTTCTGTATATATAAAGCACAAAAGAAAATTAATAATTTATAATGTTAGAAGTGATTACCCTTGGTGGTAGGTTGGGGGTCAGTGGCTAGTGACTGGAAGAGAACTTCAGGCGGCTTCTGGTGGGCTAGTAATGTTCAGTTTCTTGATTTGGTCGCCGGTTACACGTGTGTTTGCCTTGTGAAAATTCATCAGGCTATACATTTATGATATGTGCTATTTTTTGTATATTTTCAGCGAAAGTAAAAATACTATTTAAGCTGTATTCAAATATATATATTTAAACTAAAATCTGATGAAAGAACAAGACGGCACACAAGAGGGATTTTGAAAAAAAAGATATTCTAGAAATTTTCTAAAAATACAATGATCCTTAAAATGAATATATTGTTAAGCAGTAAACTGAAATAGCAGAAGGGATTCATTACGTGCAAAAGATTCAAGGAAATTCCCCATGCTACAGCACAGAGGGCAGAGAGAGAAAATATGAAAGAGTAATTAGACACCTAAAACAAAATGAGAAGATGGGACGTAAATCTAATACAACTGGATGGAAGAGATGCACTATTCAAAGTGACAAAGGAAGAGAATTTAATGAACAACACAAATTCAGGTTATGAGTTTCTGAACAGAAGAAATACACATTTATTTTGTACTCAGAAGCCTACTATTTTAGAGATGGAAAAGTTTTTAGAGATGGACAGGTCCACCCCCTTTGTTTCAAAGATAAGAAAACTGGGGCCCTGAAAGATTGATTTGCCTGGATCAAAAAGCTGATTAATAATAGTGGAGACAGAAACTATCTTAATGTTATATTTTAAGAGTCATGGGTAAGAAGAACAAAATAGTAAATTCTGACTTCAACTTTCCTGCTGGTATCACCATGTATAATAGCAATCTGAAATATTCCTGTTCATCAAGAGAATTGAACTCAAGTTGAAAATATGAGGCATTATTGATTCAAATGCCATGTAGTAAGTGTTTAACAAATGATACTTAATGATTAGGCCAGGCTAGGGCTGCCCACACATACTGTAAGGAAATAGTGTCGGGACAAGTCTTCTAAAGATTTGACTACAAGGCCATCATAATGATTTCAATACATAAGCTATCTATTATATTTTCTCTTTAAATTCTTTTCAACATTTTAGAGTGCCTTTTCAATGACATTTTCTCTATTATATACATAATGACAGAAGGTAAATTACTTTCTTCCTTTGAAATAGAACTCACAATCTAAATGAACCTCTAAGTGCCCATTTTAAGTCTGACACAAATTTCAAACTGGTCAGAGAAGTATAAAATGCACTGAAGACCTGATATATAAAGCACTATTTTTTTTTTTTTACAAAATTAATCATTTCTGATGATGGATCAGTAGCTTGTATTAATTCAAGTATTTAAGAGGAAAAGATCTAGTCAGCATAAGAAAATGTGAGCTTAGCCCTTATTCAAATTTTATGATTTTGAATTAGAAAATCTGTATTATTTTAATGCTCATAAATTTCAAAATCATACATAAAATAATCCTATGACCACCTGTGATGACTTTTAAGACGAAAATATTTTTCAGAAATACAAAAAAATCTGAAGTGTAGAAAGTAATTTGGTATGTTCCAGGTTGAAACATTTTCAGGAAGAAGTTCTTACAAGTAAAACAACTTTACCATGTCATTAAATTTAGAACTACATAATGAAAAAAACAAAACAATCAGTACTTAAATTCATTTTCTCCTGAGAGTCTAGTATTTATCGATGAGTTTGGAACTTTTCAGAGATTTTTTATCAGTTTCAGCTGTGTATGAGTTAAAATACTTTAAAGTTAAAATAATTTTAACTATTCATATATTCATATATTCATAAATCTGACCACTATAAGAGGGGAACAGTTATTAACATTCGTAAATCTAGTTAGCAAAAATGAAAAATGAAATGAAAATTAAAAAGACAACAGGCCACGAAAATACTTGCTGCCAAGTATTTACTGCAGAAATAACTCATACAAATGTATAAAGAAACCATTAAGACATTTACTTATATAAATGAACAAAGTATACAAAAAAGTCACACAAAAGCAAATTAAGAGCAGTTTTGAACTCTTATACTTACTACCTTAGCAACAACATATAAAACATCCACCCAAAGCTGTAAACTTTTAATGAACAGAGATACTTAAATGGCGCCAGTGTAAAATGTTATAACTCTTTGGGAAGCAATAGGGCAAACATACGAAGAGCCATAAAAGTGTTCTTACTCTGCCAATAATCCCACTCCCAGGAATCGATCCTAGTAAAACTGAAAACAACTTCAGAGTTCAAGAATTACGATAATGGTTTAAGTAAACTGAATATGAAGTGATATGATTAAAATAATAATTATCAAAAGTAAATACAAAGCATCTCAGAACATGAAATGAAATAATAGTCGATTAGAAAATATAGGTGTCTTAAGACTGTAATTATGTAAACCAAAAAAGGGAAAATGGTAATACAAAATTAAAGTTCTGAAGTCCCTGCGTCAGGATGGTGAGGATTGTGGGTAATTTTTCTATTTGGCAAAATTTTCTTCAATGTTTTCAATATTAAGAAAAAGATACATAATCTCTACTCTTCTCCACCAGTAAATTTATACATGGCAATTTTTAAGTTGAGAAATAGAGAAATGCCCCAACTGTTTCCTAAAACCTAAATTTTCCTCTATTTGGACCTTAACTGGCAAAGCCTGACGACCTATCACCTGGGCCACCCCAGCAGACAGAGGCGGACTCCACTTCTGAGTGGGACAAACTGCGGGGCACAAGATAAGTTGTAAACTTACAAATTTGTGTGTTTGGTATTTTATGTTAATGCATTGAGATAGCAAACTCTTTTCCTTACAGTTTTGTGTGTCAGAATTACTTTTAATATTTTCATTTAAGATACCTTGCCAATGTGATAAAACGCTCCATATATAAAAAGCTATATATGCTTTATAAATTTTCGTACTGAATTTATATTCAGTTAACTACAAATAAAATCCCATGACTTTACAGATTTAAAATTTTTGGAGATTGCAAACAGGCAACTACTTTTAAAAGAGAGGCAATCCATAAAAATCTAGAAACATCTGATTTATGAAATTTTAAACTATTCTTCCTTTAGAATCTGAATAAACGAAGCAGAATTTGGACATTTCTAAAGACTGGCCACATAATATATTGCTTTCCCATAATAAAAATATGAAGGACTCGTTATATGTGAAATGTACCATTTTGTGACTACATTTTCAAAATTATGTTAAAAAAGGGTTAGGGAACTTTCAGTAAGCTATTTGAATGAAAATGTTGGAGAATAGCTTTTAAAATATTTAGAGCAGAAGGGATTAGCTAGACATGTATGGCAGCTATCTCGACGTCTATAAATATAATTTGAAAGAGCAAACTAAAGAAAAAAAAACAGTATCACAGGGATTAATGCCCTGTAGAGGTATAAATAAATACTAAAAAATAGACAAAAGAAATTTTAAACTGAAGATGATTTCCTTGGCTTACTTTTTAAAAAATGCTATTCAGTAACTTGGTACAGGGCAGTTGATTGTACGGATGAAATCATCAGGAAAAGATCACGTAGCTGCCAAATATAAGCCACGGGGCTGTCCTTTGCGCTCATGGTAGACGTGAATTTAACTAAATATTTAGTCTTCTTACATTCTGTTAGTGGTAGCAGCAACAATTTGGTTTATTTACAAATATTTATTATAAAAGTTTATTCATTTCCAAGAGCTAAACAAACATAGCTATTACCAGGTTAAGTACAAGTCTTGTCAAATAAATGTTAATAACTGTAAGCTCCAAAATGTAAGTTAAATAATGGTCTTTTCAAACATAAGAACTTCAATATAATAGAGCCACTAGGAAGCCAAAATAAAGTCAAAGTCAAAGTTGCATTCAGTCTTGTGACACCAAAGAAACATATAGCTTGTATTTCTTTTTCTTTGATTAGAAAAAGACTCTGAAGAAAGATCAAAATCAGAAGGTTGATTTTCCTGAATCCAACTGAACAACATAACATCCTAAAACAACATTTCACAGTGAGGCAAAGAACTGAATAAGTCACTGCAAAGCTATTTATAATGTAGAGCAGATAAATTGTACACCACGGAAACTGTCAATGATGGACATTTTTCTTCATGCGAAAAAAAAATCATGCGGGAAGAAAAAAAGAAACAGTTGTTCATCTCTTGCATGTAGCTTGCCATTCTGTACACAGGACTCAAATGTCAACCAAGAAATGACGACAACCCCAAGCCAATCTTAAGAGGCCTTAATTATATCCTCTTCTCCCTTTGTCTCATTTAGGGTTATATATTCACAGCTCAAAACTTGTTCATTAGACTCCTCAGGTTTTGACTTTTTAAGTGCCAGCTCTGCCGGGAGAAGAGACGAGCAATGTTCCAGAGACTGGGCGATGTCATCAATTGTCCACTTGTCTTCAGGAAGGGCATGCTCTTCTAGTGTAAACGGCCCCTGCTTGGTTCGGGTCAGCTCTAGGACGTTGGCACAGGAAGACAGTTCTACGGCAACAAAAGGCGAAAAGAAAATCCACAGGGTCAACGATTCAGTAGTCCACAGTCATCACAATTTTTCAAATGACAGAACACCTCGGGATTCCAACCTCTCAAAAGCACCCCAAATGTAAAACTGTAATAAGCTAATAAGAACCAAGAGCCTTGACAAATGACGAAGTAGCAAAATGGTATTTAGTAACTCACCTTATAAACTGCTTCAAAGGCCACAAGGAACTTACACAGACTTTTCTTACTTAACCGTGAAGCAAGCCCAGGAGGGAACTATTAATCTCATCTGCAGATGAGGTAACCTGACCTGTCCGGTGCCACAACCGCCAGGAAACGGCAGGGCCAGGACTGCAACTTTCTAGCTGTTTGTAGGACTATGCCTTCCAGTTTCTAAAGAAAATGTTACTTGCGTCAATGGAAGTAACTTGTAGACGGATCCATCTTTTTATCTTATCCCATTGGAGTTAGAATCTTTCATACTCGCAATTATGTTGGCTCTTGCCTTCATTATCCCCATCTTCATTTTCTGCTCCTCTCTCTCTCTTTGTCTCCTGTTGTTACAAGCATCTCACTGCAGCTGCTGATGCCGATAATTGTATGCCATAAACCTACAACGCTTTTGAAGCTGAAGGCAGCGAGGGTACAGTTCCCTAAGGCCGGCACTCAGAGATTGGAAAAATAGAAAATTCCCTCTTCCCATCAAAAGCGAGTATTACTCTCTAAATGATAATTCATAATTCATCTTTATGCTTACCTTTGCCAATGTCACTGACCAAGCTTCTGATATAAAAACCTCCTCCACATTCAACATCTGGAATGTTAACAGTGACATGGTAAATTGCTAACCTCCCATGAAATCCACTTGACATAGAAATGATGCCCCTAAACAAATGTAAAAATGCACTATGCAAACAATCGAGTGATAAAATATTTATGTGCTAAAACATAAATTATTCATCCAATAGCATATGTGTTTGTGAGATTGAAAAGTCAGAGCGTGGAGAGAGCAAACAGCAGAAACTCATGAACACATTTTTAAAAAACTGGCAAGTCACACCACGTAATTCCTTTAGCCTTGTTCCTTTAATAGGTTTTAAATAGTGAGGAGTCTCAGCTTTGATATTATGAGCTGGACGCTTAAAAAAACATTTTCAGATTTTTACACCTTTTCCATTTTGTCGGTTTTAAATAGGTGGGACATCTCAGCTTCGCTATCAGAAACTGTAGATTTTTAAGATATTGTCAGATGGGTACACTCAAAAAATACAACAAAAACCCCGTATCAGGGATGGTAATTATGTTTGGGAAAATATACTACATGGAGAGCTCAGTCTATGTAACTGTTCTCTTGGAAATATTCCTAAAGAAGTCATAAAATAACTAAAATTACACAATGTTCCAGAGTGACTGCATATGTAAACATCTTCACAGTAGATTATGTGCTTATTGGTTAAGAGCAGGGCTCCGGATTATTTTCATTCGTCCACAAGACATCCTGAATTTCCACACAAAGAACTACATTCCTGGTGCTTATAGTCTTATCCTACAAAGAAAGCCACTTGAGGGAATTAATCAAAACTCACTACCTGGGGATTTTCTTTTTTCTTCCCCATCGGCTCAAGGTTGGGGACCACAGCTGAGATTAAAAAACGAGCACGAGGATCAAAGTAGGTATATAATCACTCTTGCACTACATTTGACGTTGGTGAAAAGACAACTCTTCTGGCCTATTACAAAATAAGTGAACATAATAACTATTTACAACTAAAATGCAATCAGAAAAATTCAAGCTTCTCCCCCTTTCATAGATAATATCTACCGTGCCGACCCAGCTGCTTTGTTTTCATGGAATGAGGTATTTTTTAGTATGTTTTTCTCATTATTTGTCAAATATTTTAGAATCAGGAAACTAAAGAAGTGACTTCATTTTTTCAACTGTACAAAAACCACATTCTATAGGAACTTAATACACCTTAAATAGTATGTCAAAGCAATAGAATATAGGGAAAAAAAAGTTTTGGGAAATTATTTCTCAAGGGAATCCTAGTTAGTAGTCACTGTGAAATTAAGAGCAGGTTCAGTTTAAGGAAGCCTGAGAATTCAGAAGAACCACAGCTTTCAATTCTTCACAGCTCATAGATGTTCGTGGCTTCAGCTACTACTTTCTGCAACTAAGAGATCATCAAATTCCCGAACAATAGAGACAAACGTTTTGGTTTTTAAATTTATTTCAAATATAAATTGTAGATACTTTCAAATTGATAACCTGAATTAAAATGTACCCCATGTGTAATCAAACACTTGTGCCTTACCCATTGTCTCCATATTGTCAAGATCTTTAGCAGTAACTTGCAGGTAACAAAGAAGGGGGAGAAATAATGACTCTATCCTTAGAATTTCTTGTCCAAAAACTAAAAATGCTTTGTTTTAAAGGACAAATTAAATTTTAAAGCTGAATGTAAACTACCAGGTACTAGCCAAAATGGGGGAACAACCATCCATAATAGAGTAAAAACACAAGATATAAAATTTTGAAAGTGTATATCCCTTATCTACTCTTTGCCATTAGAGATCGAAGGTATGTTTATTTCCAACTTTATAATATAATAGGTATATTACAATGTAGAGATATTTATATTATTATATATAAGATAATAAGAAAAGCATTTAGAAAAGCATTTCTGAACTTCCATGTAGCTATCAGTATGTTCGTCAAATGTGTTTTCGAAAAGGTATTAACAAATCCTAACCTTACCTAAATTCAAGTTTAAAAAAATCTCCAATATCCTAGGGATCCATTAAACTACACGAAAGCAGCTGAATGCAAGATAAAAGTACACGTAACTAACTACACATGATTTCAAGTCTTTCCACCTTACCTAATGTGAAAAATGGTGGCTGGAATTTCTGAAGGGAGAGACTGTACACCGTAACTGGCCTGGCAGGTTTCGCTTCTACTATTTCACCTCTCTTCATCAAGGTTGAAAGTCTCTGTCCGTCTTTCTTTAATGCAGAATAGCTTGCAAGATGAGGGAGAGAGACAGGGCGTGAAGGAGAGAGAAAAGGTTAAGAAAGAATGAGAGAGCATAACTCCAGATTACAGCATGGAAAGAAAGGATGACGAGCGGCACTTAAATGGAAAATCTCTCTAACAGGCGGACTTCTTTTTTCCTTCCAATCTGCTCCGTGATGGTGCCAGGGATGGAATTCCTAAATATCTTTGAAGCGAAAGCTTAATCTGGTACCCAATGAGCAATATTGTCAATTTTACCCTTCCACCTTCTCTGTGGAGGTGGTCTATACAAATGTTTGTTCATTGGTCCGGGTTCTGGGTCAAGGACACTGTGACAAGGCCTCTGGTCACAATGGTCTCAACTATGTTTCCTTGAAACAATTTCCATTACAATAATATTCATTTTCACATACGAGTTGTCAAAACATTTCAAAATGCAAAGAAGCAGATAATCTACTTAACAGATCTTAGCTTTGTGTGATAAAATTTTATTAGACTACGAAATCCTTGGAACAGTCCCGGGAAGAAATTTCTAAAACTGCTCTTAAATTAAACATACTTATATTTTATTTATAACAATAATGATCAAAAATAACATTTATCCATATCCTAAAAAATTTTTTAAACTTTCATTTGAAGCAAAATTATGAAGACCCATTTCCCTGTTAGATATTTCAGAGTTCTTGAAAAAAAAATCAAGATTTTAAAATAAAAAGTACTAAATGCTAAAAGAACTGTCAGTAACTTTGCCTGACACATAACGACATAGCCATTTTTTAAAATAAAAAGCAATTTGCTTGAAATGGTAATGTGCACAAAAAATATGGTTAAGTGGTAAATCAATATTCTTATACTTTTAATAAATTGTAACTTTCATCTGTCTCATTTGTTGCTGAGAATTGTGAAGCGTAGGATTCTGGGCCCACAGGAAATGGTCCCGATGCCTGAACAAAAGTAGCCACTGGACTACAAATCACAGCTCTGACAGCAGCACTGGACAAGACCGGGCCCCTCGCAGCAGTTCGGGGAAAACTGACCTCTCTGCGCTCCAGACCTGCCCTGAGGCGTGTGGGTGCAAATCACAGAAGCCCATCAGCACTGGAACGGCATGGATGTCAAGCCGTGGCAGCATCCAGGGCCAGAGGAGACGGCATCGCGCCGCCCCAGAGAGTGCCGGAAGCTCTGCAAGCTGCCTAAGTCAGGCCCACCTCTACTGGAGCAGATGCTGTGTCGGATCAAAACGTGCTTCACCATACACAGAAGGAAGCCGTTTTGTTTGTTTGGTTTTTTTCTCATTAAAGTGATGTTAAACACTGAAAAATAAAAATTAAACATTTCTTCAAATTCAGTAAGTGAACTTACAGGGGAGGTACCTGCATTATATTCCCAGTAAATTTCTGCAGAATGCCTTCAATATCTTCTTGTGTTATTTTATCTGCCAAAAAATGAAAAAGGTAACAAACAACTACAGATTATGTGCTATTTTCACAGCATTGAACGCTCTGAAATTTCAATTAATTTTTAAAAAAATTTTTTTAATGTTTATTTATTTTTGAGAGAGAGAGAGAGAGAGAGAGAGAGACAGAGCACGAGCAGGGAAGGGGCAGAGAGAGGGGGAGACACAGAATCTGAAGCAGGCTCCAGGCTCTGAGCTGTCAGCACAGAGCCCGACGCAGCTCAAACCCACAAGCTATGAGCTTATAAGCTGAGCCGAAGTCAGGTGCTTAACTGAGCCACTCAGGAGCCCCTCAATTAAAAATTTTCTATCAACACATATTTGTAGGCCAAATTCTACCTTGTTGAGATGAATAAAATACACATTAATGAGATAAGAGGGGGAGAAAGTCTTATACTGTCTAATATTAAGACTAAATTTCCTTTGCTTCAATTTTTTCTCCAATAAATGACTCCATCATCTTATATGCATTTAGCTGGTGCTTACTATAGCCTTTAGAAAAGCTAAGAAAAATGGCGCATTAGCTATAGAAAAGGTACCACAGCATTAAAAAATGAGGGGATCGGAAAACAAGTAGAAAAATTCATATAAGTTTTTTTTTAAATAACTGAAGTATAATTGGCATACAATGCTAATATTAGCTTCAGGTGTGCAATGCAGCGATCTGACATATACATTACGCAGTGCTCACCACGGCAAGTGGTAATGAGCAAAATAGGTGAAGGGTATTAAGAAATACAAGCTTCCAGTTATGAAATAAGTAAATTATGGGAATGAAATGTACAGCATAGAGAATATAGTCAATAATACTGTGGTAACTTCGTATCATGACAGATGGTAAGCATTGTTGTGCACCTGAAACTAATGTAACACTGAATGTCAACTAAAAAATCAATTTAAAAGTTAATTTAAAAAATTAAAAAAAAAAAAATGCTTAAGTTATCTAAGTTTCTCCAGGCATCAAATACTATAAATAATGTACACAGTATTGAAGATTATTTTTTTCAAGATTTAAAAAAAAAAAAATTTTTTTTAATGTTTATTTTTGAGAGAGAGAGAGACAGAGACAGAGACAGCATGAGTGGGGGAGGGGCAGAGAGAGAGAGGGAGAACACAGAATCGGAAACAGGCTTCAGGCTCTGCGCTGTCAGCACAGAGCCCGAAGCGGGGCTCGAACCCAAGAACTGCAAGATCATGACCTGAGCTGAAGTCGGATGCTTAACTGACTGAGTCACCCAGGTGCCCCCAGCATTGAAGATTATTAAGTAGCAACCACATCAAAAACTTTACCTGCTAGTTCTACGGTGGCATAAAACTGACACACTTACATTCAGTTCTGTCCCCAAGAAAACTTGTATTTGTCTCCTTCCCTCCTTTCACTGTTTTTGGAATTTCTCTGTTCTTTTTCATCAAACACTCTTAGGAGTCTGACTTTTGCCTCAAAATAAGCCAGTGCGAAAAGACAATATACACAGCAAGGATACCATGATTATTAAGCATTTTTTAACAATGATTTTAGAAAATTTGAATGAAGACATACAAGTTTTCGGTATGTTACTTAATCATGTTTCCAGCCTTTAATACTCTTTCACACAAAATATCAACTGTATTAACTATAAAATATTATTACTATAATATTAAAGTATAGTTCTATAATTTTAACAAATGAAAACTATAACACATTGAAACTCAGTATTTGGGACTTTCGTATTTATAGATGACTATGTATATTTCATATTCAATAATTATAGAAATAGTCTATAACTTGTTTAGGTCACAGTCAATGGGAAGAAATTACAGCGCTTCTTTTTCACTTTGTAGGACGTTTATTTCAACTTTTTATTCTAATACATAGTTACATTTGATTTTACCAAATAACATTAAGCAAAACCTAATTAATGTGCCTTGAATTATCACTGTATCACCGGAAAAAAAATTAAACAACAGCATGGAATACTGTGTCCAGGTTTCAATATCAACACAGCGAGACAGTCTTAACCTCGGTGTGACCTTGAGTCTCAAGTTAAACAAAAGACCAGAATCTACTAGACTCACACAGAGAAGAGCCACAGAACTCAAAAGAATTTCTCCAACACCTAACAGTCCAAAAAGACAGTTCTCAGATGGATATTCTGTTCATCCTGTTTTTCAAACAGATGTAGCTCATGATAGGATAAGGATTTTTCCATGAGAAATTTTTGCTCTACCGCAACATTAAAACAATTACTGGTGCCACCTTAGTGATGCAACGCTTTCAAATCTAGGCAGCCAATGCTACCACCAAGCACGGCTGCTGAAGAAATGTCACTGCTGATACCACTGCAGAGCAATTGCAACGTACTGTTAAGTTCATGGCTTAGCCACACATCTTCAAAATAAGACTAAATGAAACTGAAACGGCTCTCTACTTCTGCTAGGCTGGCCTCTTTCCTAACATTCCTCTGAATGTATACTCCTTTTCCTGCTTCAGTTGTTGTCTTTTACTCATACTCCCCAACATAAGATGACAAGACGTGTTCTTTGTCATTACTTCTGCCAGGGTCTCTTTCTCTGACTTAACATCTCAGGCATTTTAGGTTTGTGCTGTTCATTCTGCAATTAACCATACACAATTTGTAAATGTTACCTACTATACATAGGCAGGTATTATGTCACCAATTAAATTCCAAGGCCCTTAAAGGCAAAGGCAGCTTTTCTTCTTATATAAGGTACACAATTACAGTGGCACTCAAGACATTCTTGCTGAATCAGCTGAGGAATAATAGAATCTCCAGGTCAAAAGGACATTTAAAAGTCACCCAGGCCAATGATTCTTCTGAAGTTTGAATCACCAGACAGAAGGTCTATGCAGCAAGTTGTTTTACAATAAAGGTGAATATACTATTTTAGAATAAGTATTTTTTTATCATATGATTATTATGTTCACTACGTGAGTATGTAGTAAAGCATGCTGGCTATCTCTAAATCTTGCCATTAGTCCAATCCAAATAATAATTATTAAGAATAAAGACTCTACCTCCAAAGGATTTAAAAAGAAATGGAGAATAAAATCTCTAAAGCAATTATATCCAATAACTATCCAAGAAATACATTTGGTAAAAGAAGATGGGTATGATAAAAGTGTCATAGGACTTGGGTAATTATTCTTTGTTTAGAATCATCAATGTGCCAGCAGTATTCATTTGAAATTAATATATTTTTTTAATGTTTATTTTTGAGACAGATACAGAGCATGAGCAGGAGAGGGGCAGAGAGAGAGAGAGGGAGACACTGAATCCGAAGCAGGCACCAGGCTCTGAGCTGTCAGCACAGAGCCTGAAGCAGGGCTCAAACTCACAAACTGTGAGATCATGACTTGAGCTGATGTCCGACACTTAATCAACTGAGCCACTTACGTACCCCTGAAATTAATATTTTTAATTTTTTTTTTGAGAGAGAGATAGTGAGCAAGTGGGGGAGGGGCAGAGAGAGAATCCCAAGCAGGCCCCACGCTGGGCATGAAGCCCCATGTCGGGCTTGATCCCACCATTGTGAGATCATGATCATGAGCCAATATCAAGAGTCAGACACTTAAACAACCTAGCCACCCAGGTGCCCCTGAAATTAATTTTAAAAAGTCATTCTCAGAAAATTAATATATGTGAGATCATATCACATATTATTTGCTTAAAATCTGTTGACTCTACCCGTGAACTTACAACATAATAGTCGACACTTAACTGAACTATGGATTTAAAAACAATATTCAACCATGACAGAGTAACTGTTACTGGATAAGTCCTACCACTATAAACTGTTTAATTGGGAAAATACATAATACACAATTGTTTTCAAACCTTAGACAACAGACAGCTAGGACTATCATCCCTGAGAGAAGAGAAAGAAACAGGCAGGGCCTTTCTGAGGATCACTTGTTTTGCTTGGAGGTACTTTCTGAACTGTGATGTAAGGAAGGGAATCCCAAAAGAGCACTGTAATCTTGCTACTGGAGGCGGCTAGACAGACCTGAGCAGGAGGGGAGAAAGGACGATGGCAGGTAGGAAGCTGCCAGGGACTACCCAGTCTCCGCCCAGACACCGCATCATCTCGCGTAGACCAAGCTCTTTTGCTACCTTTCTGGAGTGTACTCTCCCTTTGCTAAATAAAACCTTTGTTTAATTCTCTACGGAGTCTCTCGACTGAATTCTTTCCTTCAAGAAGACAAGAACCAAGGAATTTTACAATCCACCAGCCAGTAACAATCTCACTGAATAAAAATCAGAATTTGGGGAAGCAGCAGCAGCTGGAATTTGGGAGAACCAAACAGAGAAGGAGATGTCTACAGGGGTCCACTTGAGCCCAGCTCAATTCCAAGCTGCACATAAGACAGACGCCAGAAAATTAACCAAAGAACTGCCACCAAAGCTCTTGCAAGCTCTTATAAGGTTGGATGAATTCCAACCATCCAGAAGGAAGAAACTTGGCTGAACACACAGGGAATGTGACAGGGACCCCAGAGAAGCCGTGTCTGAGGAGTAGAACTAATGGAGACCTGGAAAAATGTACTTTAGATCCACACTAACAAGGAATCTATACAAAAGTGACTCAAATTAGTGAGGTTAGCAAGGGAAAATGACATAAGACCAATATTTAAAAATTAACTCCATTTCTCTATACTAAGAATGAACTATCAGGGGCACCTGGGTGGCTCAGTCGGTTGGGCGGCCGACTTCGGCTCAGGTCATGACCTCGCGGTCTGTGAGTTCGAGCCCCGTGTCGGGCTCTGTGCTGACAGCTCAGAGCCTGGAGCCTGTTTCAGATTCTGTGTCTCCCTCTCGCTGACCCTCCCCTGTTCATGCTCTGTCTCTCTCTGTCTCAAAAATAAATAAAACGTTAAATAAAAATTAAAAAAAAAAAAAAGAATGAACTATCACAAACAAATTTTTAAAATTCAACTTATAATAGCATTCAAAAATATGGAGTATTTAGGGATTTCATAT